GTCAAAGGCAACCCTTGTGTAAGGCTTATTTTGATTATTAGAAGATGGCTTAGCAGACACTGCTAATACAGAAGGCTTAGAAGCAGAAAGAATTTCATTTTCAACATACGACTTAAGACGTATTTCTTCAGCCAATAACTCACTGACAACTGAGTCAACAGAAGGAAGTGGAGAACGATGCAAAATTGAACCTCTGAGTCCTTCAAAATCACTGCGAAGTGCCGTTAAAAATTGTACCAACCATTGCTGCTTTCTATGAGTAATATAGGCAGCACATGCCTTTAATTCTGTCGATTCTGTAAGGGCCAATTGATCCCAAAGATCTGTCATAGCAGAATAAAATTCCTGAATACTCATATTATTCTGATGAAGAGCTCGTATATCATTCTCCATTTGATACTGCTTTGCAAAATTTGACTGAGTGAATAATCTTTGCAGATGATCCCAAACCTCCTTTGCTGTCTCATACTTCGCCGACTCTCTACCTATGGAATGCTCCACAGAGTTGTTAATCCAAGCAATAATTTTTGAATTGTTTGTTTCCCAAGCATCTATCAAAGCAACATAACCCTCATTGGTATTCTCAGGTTTCACAGAAGTTCCACTAATGAATCCCCACATCTTTCTACCCTTAAGAAAATTTCTCATCACGTAACTCCAATACGAATAATTCTTTCCATCCAATCTCACATTCACAGACTGAAGGGAATCGTCTCTTTCAATAGTCATAATAAAAAAAAATAACAGATTCCAGAAATACCAAATTGCAGAAATACCAGCTCTGATACCATGTTAAACAATTCAAAAGAAAATAAAGAAAAAGGAGGAGGCTAGGGTTTCATTGATACTGCATTAATTAATTGAATGTTAAAAATGGTTTAACCTAAATACAAAGAGAATATATATAGGCTAAACAAAGGAAACTAAAAAGGACTATTCTACCCTTAATAATTAATAAATAATTCTATATTTCTTAACATTGGCAACTGACATATGAGGACATCTTCCTACATAATCAGCACAGAAAGTAGCTTATGTCCAAAGGTCCTATGTTAGTCTAATGTTTATAAACTATTTATAATTGGAAAAATTGCTTTTTATCTACGGGTTTCGTGTGATTCATAAATACTACTCATTCATTCACTACTCATTTCTATCTATTTATAATTTAAACAGTTCTATATATACACTTCCCAACATGCTTGGCAATGGTATTCCCCAATATGATAAGAATCCCCAACTGTACAAACTGAACTTTTCAAAATGGGTGTGCTCCCATGTTCATAAACTTCCCATTATGCTACTTATCACACAGCCTGTATTGACTTCTTCTACCCTGCAGTCAACAAGAAGTAAAATAAATTATAGTCATGCTACGTGTACATTTGGGTTGACACCTTGGATGACACTTCCCTCACATGAGGGTGGGGCTTGAGCGTAATAAAATAATCGCAGACCCCACCCATGGGTGGGGGTGTCAACCACCGGATGTACAAATGGCATTATTAAATAAATTATATTCACTAAGTGCATGTTCGACATGGCAATACTGGACAAGACTTGACGACATTACGATAAATAAGAATTTAACTAACCATCCAACTCTATTGAATCTTCCCTACCATATATGCACTAAATATCCCTATCTACAAACATTATTGCCTGCTGTTAATGTAGTTTGTGAGTTTGTCCATGTGTCTTCGTGTATATGGGCTGGGCTGGGCGGGGCGATAGACGTATGGATGTACGTTGAATTTTTCTTCTTGAACAGGGCCACATTGGCACCACTTGACTCCCCACCTATAGTGGCGCCCCTGTTCAAGTATCACAACCCGTATGTAAATACATCAATATACATTTCATTAATATACAAGGACAAGATGATACTATGAAAAGTGTCTCTTCATAAAAAGAGGCGTCAAACTTTCTTGCGCTAGCTGTCATGAATGAAGAATGTTGACCTTTACAAAAAGTGGGATGAAATGTATGCTGTTTTGAAACAGACTAGAAGACACAACGAATCTTTCTCCTCCGAAAACACCCCTTGGTGTTTCTGTTTGATTAATCTACTTTTGTTTTCTGTTTGTTATATTATATGTAAAATGTTCAGGCTGAGTGAGATTGGAATATTTATATGGTACATTATGTCAACACAACTATTTATAAAATACCAAAAGAATTAAAAGGAATGTCGGTCTCATTGTATAGTCAGAACCTTTTAATTTCAATACCATTGTCAACGCTTCTATCAATTTGTTTTTGATATCCATATTGGTTGTCCTTGACTCAATAAGAAACTATTTTTCCTTCACAACAAAAATATAGCAATAATGCCACTCTATGAGACAATTCAACGTGGAGAGTATTTATGTTCATCTAAAAGTCTTAACCAAAGGCTGCTAATTCATTCCCTGAGATGAACCTAATGATCTCTTCTTGTAATTTTATTCATAGCATTTTTTAGTTCGTAATCAAAAATACAGTTTGAAAATTCAGCAAGCCATTCTGATAATCTAGCAATATCCCATCATCACATCTTATTATTATTTTTATGTCAATGTTCATCAAATATCAACACTGCAATGAACACTTGAGCCTCAGTTCAATAGAGCATGTAATGATGAACATTCAGTATGGTATGCATCACTTCAAAGGAAAATTCTAGATTACCACTAAAAAAATGGAGAAATTAATGAGTAAAGACTTACTGTCTACAAAAGCAAGAGTCTATACGTGAGATCCAAAAAAAGATAACACTGAAAAACCTCGAGCGTATCTGGGGAATAAAGAACCATTTAAAAGCAACTTTTAAGCTTAGGCAAACATGCTTTGCCTAGTTGAATTCAAGAAAGGGCCAAGTTAGAAATTATAGTGACATGAAAGTAGTGGCAAATGAACTGAGCACTTAGCATGCTGCCCTCCATCTAAAATCACCACCCTATAAAAGATTTATTCAGGATTTGTAATTTACATTTTTAACTTATTTTTTAGTACGATGCACATGTTTGTTTACCTTACGATGATCGAAGTAAAAGACATAAGGCAGTTTATATGACAATTAGCAGATATGGTCTTCAGGCATCTTAAGGATTTTTCTTGTTCTATTGTTAACTTGTTTCTTTTCTTTGTATAGGATAAATTATGCCAAGTCTTTATTTGAAAAATATCGGTAGGTATTCATAGGAAGAATTGCAGTAGGTAGCTAAAGCTTTCCTTCTATGATTATTTGTAACCTTATAAATAGGATCTCTCGTTTTTTAATCACTAGACAAAAGAGTAGTACAAAATTGACAATCTATGGATATGGGAAAAGAAACATATGATAGAGATACTACTCACATATGATTCTGTTGAAAAGAGCGCAATGAAGGACAGTGGGTGGGAGTGCAGCCGAATTAATATTTTTCAATTTAGTAGTTTGTCTTAGCTTGTTAGAAGTTGTCCAATTAGTCAGGGAACAAAGGTAATACAGGAGCCTTCTGGAATGAATGTTACTGGCAGAATAAATGGGGGAGCGTTGTTTCATCTCAATCATGGAGAATCAGATTGAAAGTGAGGGAGAGAGGGCAGATCTCTTGAATATTTGTCCAAAATTGTAATTCCAGATCCATTTCATAGATTTACATACTTTGCTTACTTCTTTTTCAATACAATCTCACAGGTGCACACATACAATTCCTCTTCAATCCATCATTATCAATTTCACAATCAATTCAGAGTGGCCAATCTCTGTTTAATTGATCAGTAATCCACCCAATTAGCTTCCAGTTGCTGTTTAATCAATCAGAAAGTTTATCAAACGGTATCAGAGCATCATGTGGGGAAAATGGCAACAGAATATTTGGAAGATCGACTGGATAAAAGTAGAGTAAAAGAATGGATTGCAAAGACATATATCAGGTGATGAGTTAGGTGAAGTGTAAAGTGCAGGCAATGAACCACTTGGAGAGTATGGGTCTCTTTACTGGAAAATTTATCAATGATGGAGAAGATTTAGTTCCTCTGGCACGGAATCGGTTTACACCATGAATCCAGAGTAAGGAGACTAAAAATGCCAGTATTCTCTGGCAAAAATCCAGACTGGTGGCTGTATAAGGCAGATCAATACTTTTCAATGAATTCGATGTCTGATTGCATTCATACAACTAAGAAATAAAAACAGTTCTTTTAAGAGGACCACTCGTATAGCAACGAGTTCAGGGTTACTTATGATTACGTTCTTCAATAAGACATTCTCACAAAAACATTTTAGAACTGGGCAAAAATTCTGTCAAATAGATTCATCATTACTTGAAATGTTGATAGGTCATCATAGAAAGATTGAAAAGTTATTCTTAGTGAGAGCAGAACTGAATGATGTGGTTATATCGAAATGAAAGAAACAGCAAGGTGATTCGAGTTGATTAAGCTCGTGGAAATGTGAAGTTAAAGGAAGGAAATGGGAGATAGTAACTTGATGTGGAATTAAGTAACTAGCTACAGTAATAATGCAGTATTAGAGTAAAAGGATTAAAAGCTTGCCAAATAACAAAACAGGGCCAATAATTTCTCATGTCTACGTAAACAACTGCAAAAGCAAGCCCAAGAGCACTAAACCAACAATGAGCTGATCAAAGTATAACAGTGGCATTATTACTTTGAAGTGCGCCAACCAATCTCACTTAATTTTTTCTATGTTTATATGTATGTAAATCATAAAATATTAAATAAATGAATTCTTCTTCTCTCAAGCAGCTCGAAGTTGTAGATAGGCAATGCAATATGGTAGCTAAGCACACAACACAAGTCTCACTGCCACCATACTACGAAATTTCTCAAGCCATTGATGAAAAGTGTTCAACCTGCACATAAGAGAGCGTATAGAAGATAAAATGTAATTAATAGCTTCTTCCCCTTTCTAACAACTTGGGTTTTAGATAAAGGTGGTTTAACACGAATTTCTAATTAAATTTAATCCCTATCTGAATTGAGTTTTAGTAGAACAGGATATGGACTTTGTTGAGGATTTTTCCATGTTCCTTCACATCAAGATTAGAGATGAAATTTAAAACAAGAGTATTTCTAATTCCAACTTCAAGGCCGTAATATATAGAAAAGAAATCACTCGCAAAAAATAATAATTTGAATTTCTTGTTATTGTAGCTCCCAAAAGCATCAGCAAACCTATGCACAAACATAAATAAAGACAATGGAGCCAAAGAACCAAAAACCATCCAAATCAAAGCAAAAGTGAGTGGAAATTATGTACCTGAAAATGGTAGCTACTATAAAAGCAAAAGTCGGAATGAGCTTAAGCATGGCTGAAGCAAATAAGGCAGAGTTAATTCCATCATCCACACTCAGCTGCCAAGGACAAAATTAATACTTTCTTCAACATAAAAACTCCCAAACAACCAAATAAAACCTATTTTAAAAAACTCTCCAAAATAAGAAACTTTATTTAAAGCCCAGTTTCTTCATACAGTTCACAATTCAATGAATAAGCCATAATCTCAATTACGAGGGCAATCTAAGCTGCGCGGAAGTAAACACGCATTTACAGTGAAAGAAACAATTAGAACGGGAAAAAAATTGTTGTTGATAATGATACCTGTGGAAGAGATGAGATTGAGGGAGAAAAAGAAAATAGAGGATTGACATGGCTTCTTTGCTTACTAGCTAGCTACTGCTGCACTATTCAGGCTCACGTTCTATTCTGAACAATGAAACCATCAAATCGTAAATTCCAATAAAAACTAAGATCGCTTTTGGTTCGTCGTTTTCCAATCGTTTTCTGATTTTAGTTTTTGTAGTATTTCCGAGAACGAGGAAAATTTATAATCGAAAACTCAAAACGCGGAAAACATTCAAAATATGCCATTTTCTTCTCTTTTTGGGGGTGGGGGGGATGGTCAGCTGTACTTTTAAAATAAAATGTGATAATCTGATACAATTTAGTAAAACATAATAATTTTAAAACCTACAACATTTTTTAATTTCCATTATTATTTTTTTCTTGTTGATCAAAATTTGGAAAAACTATTATTTCTTTTTTTTTTATTGTCCAAGTGATAGCAAAATACATTCAGAAGGATAGACTAGCTATTTTCTTTACAACGATCCCTATTTTTTATCTATAATTTTATTATTTTATTTTTATAGCAAGAAAAAATAATAAACTCACCAAGTATAAAATATATATTATCTGATAATATATAAAAATAAAATTATTATGTTTTACTAATAATCAAATTAATTGAATAAATGTTATAAAACAATTTCTAAAAATTTATTATTTTATTTTTGTAGCACGAAAAAATAATAAATTTACCAAATTAAAAATATATATTATCTTATAATATATTAGCATGAAATTATTAACTTTTACTAAATAATCAAATTAATTAAATAAATGTCATAAAACAATTTTTAAAAATTTATTATTTAATTTTTTATTTTTGTAGTAAGAAAAAATAGTAAATTCACCAAGTTTAAAATATATATTATCTGATAATATATTGGCATAAAATATTATATTTTACTAAATAATCAAATTAATTAATTAAATGTCATAAATCAATTTCTAAAAATTTTAAACCAAATGTATTTTCTAAAGGATTCAATGAATTCGAAAGAATTGTACGAGGAGCCGTATGAGGTGAAAATCTCATGTACGATTCTGTTTTAAAAAACTGTTTTTCAAAATAACAAACGAAACACGTTTTTTGCCATTTGAAAAAATAGTCCCTCAAAATAGAAAACAAAAAACGCAAATGCAAACTAAACACACCCTAAATTTTTCATGAAGTTGATTTGGATGTAAGTGGATTCGTCATTTTGGTTTTGAATTGAATCAAACTGTTTTGAACTAGTTTGATTTAGATTTCAATTTTAGCAAACCCTTTGAAACAATTTTAAAAAATCTAAAAATAAATTAATTTAAATTTTTATCCAACCCAAATAAAACTAAATACATTACAGTTAAAAAGATAAATACATATTAGACATAGCCCAATACTTAAATAGACAATTATCTATCCTAATTAATTAATTAAAACATACCCAAATACGCATCAGACATCAAAGTTCTCAAATTGGATGAAGTGTTAAAAAACTGTTTTTGAATCATGTTAATTGATTATCCAATACAATTGAGTAGATAAGTAAATCTAAATTTTAATTCAAACTCATATTTCTTTCCTCCTATTAATAATTTTCTTGAATTTCAACTAAAATTTATGTCTGATTATTTTTTTTTATTTTTATTTTTTTGGGTTAATCGTTTTCTATATTTTTATTTTTAGCTATGTTATCTTGTTTTAATTTGCGCCCAATTTTCATTGGACAATATTTTGTTTCATTTTGGTGGAAATTAAATTCAAACAAGTACAAGATTTTCCCCTACATTGTTAAAGATGTATTATCTATATAAATATTCACAATTATATTTGAGTCTGCATTTTCTACAGTAATCTAATTTTTTTATTCTTTTAGGAGTTCTTTAAGTGTAAATATAGTTGATGCAGTGATTTGCCCTAAAAATTGGTTGTATAGTAATAAGAAATTTGTGGTAATTCATCAATATTTGGATGTTATAAAAGTATTGGTGATTCACAAAAAGGTTATAGAAGGTATTATCGTATTTGATTTTTCTATTCATTTTCTTTTATTAGTTATTTTATATTATTTAACTATAATCTATGAATTCATATACTATATTTTAATCTTTATGGATAGAATGAATCGCATATTAAAATTACATATGTTGCATCAATTAGTATTGACTAAGATGTTAAAATGTTTCTATCATCTTGTTGCATTATAATATTTAGAATTATAGAACTTTAGTTTATAATATTTTAATGATACTGTTTATATTTTAATGTGAAATTTTAGACTAATATTTACAATTTTACCTTATTCAATATATTTTTTTTTCTTTGTTAAACCATAATTTTAAACCGAACAAAATCTAAAAAAGTGATTTGAATTGGTTTGGTTTAAAAACTGAAGTGGTTTGATTTGATTTTAAAAAATTTCAAACCGCTTTAAGTGGTTTGAAAATTTATCATAAACCATCCAAATTGAACCGTATTCACTCTATGTAAAATATATATTTAGATCTTCAAAGTGACTGAATCGGAAATATGCAAAGGAAATAAAAATTATATTTTTCAATAAAAATGTAAATTTATATCTCGTTAATATCTGCAAGAGATTAAAAAAATAATTTAAATGTATCAATTGGAGCAGAATTTGAAATATAAATGAGAATGTTAAAGCATTGAAAATAGAAACTTAATTCAATTTTATATAACCGTCAGGTTCTTGTTTTTCAATGCTACCATTGTGGCGATTGGAATAATAGAGGTGCTCTGATCTCATCAGAGGTGGTCCGCCAATCTGATTGTGGGCTGTTTTATGGGTACACTGCTGAAATAACGGTCTCTTCCTCTAATATGGCGTAGCCCAATAGAAGCTAATAAGAAGCCCATCAATAGTGAGACAATAGCCCATAACTTGACATGCAACATGATTTGAACGCATCCTCCACCAACGTTCAGCATTCTTGAAACACGAGAGAATCATGCCACTTCACGAATATAGCCCTGTTTGTTCTTCATTAACTTTCATTTCATCACATTTCATTTTTTTACTCTTATTTTCAACTAGACAATTTTTCATAAAATAATATTATACGTAAACTGAAATTTGTTCCTTTTTTTTCAACCACTCATTTTTCAAAAAAATATTATTCCACCAATTTTCATTTTTACAAAATGGAGGCCGAACCGGGACATAGTTATGTGGAGATTACACCCGACCATTAATATTTTAAAAATAGAGAAGAAGTTTCAATATTCATAAATCAAATCTTTTATCTAACTTCTAATAAAAAGGTGAAGGAGGGTATACTATTCATGTAATAGTAAATGAATCCAATTTTACTATGCATGATGTCATTTTTTATTTTCCATTTTATTTATGTCAAATAAATGTTCTTCCACACATCATTCCACTAGCATTAGAAAAATAAATATGTCAAACAAATGTTCTTCCACACATCATGTCACTAGCATTAAAAAAATAATAATAACTTTAGTAAAAATAAACCGCCATGAGGAAAAAAAAACATCTTCGCACATGCTTTAAAAATAAGTAAAAATAAACTCTCCGCACAGTGCGGAGAGATGACAAACTATGTACGGAGAGTTTATAGTGCGAAGTAAAAAAAAAATCTCTTCGCATAGTGCACAGAGATGACATTCTGTGCGGACTCTCCGTATAATATGAAGTTTAAAAAAAAAAAAAAAACTCTGCACAGTGACTATCACGTGTGTTACACGAATTTTGCATTTTTTGTATTTTTATTAGTATATGAATTTTAGTTTTTTGAAAAGTTTTTGAAGCAATATCTAGAATATTTCCATGATATAAGAAAATAATTGCAATTTATTTTTACAATTGCATAACAGTATTATGTCATCTAAAAAAATATACTTGTATATTTTAGAATTGAATAAGAAATATACGAGATTATATAAATTATTTTACTTGTATTTTTTGATAGTGTTGATATGATTAAGTTGAATGTGAAGATTATATTTCTAAATTTTGTGTAATTCAATAGTGAAAAATTGAAGATTGAGCACCATATTCATATGCATTTATATTTTGTGCTTCATATATATTTAATATTTATTTTATGCTTATGTTGAAAAGATAAAAATCTGAAATTTTTTTTGAAATTCGGTTTGATAAGTGAATATACAGTGTTCTGCATTCTCGGTATTTGTAAGTGCAAAATCGGTATATAAAAAATATAGTAAGTTGCAAATACGGTAGGCAGCATATACGGTAAGTTGAAAATACAGTAAGCAGCATATACGGTAAGCTGCAAATACGGTAAGGTGAAAATACGATAAATTATTTGCAAGTACAGTAGGCTGCAAATACGGTAGGCAGCATATACGGTAAGGTGCAAATATGGTAAGTTGTTTGCAAATACGATAAGCTACAAATATGGTAGGCAGCATATACGATAAGCTGCCTGCAAATACGATAAGTTGCATATATGGATTTATAATTTGTTGTAAATGTATAAAATTTATTTAATATTGAATTTCTTAAGTATTAAATGTTGTAATTCAATATTGTTTCCTTTTTTATAATTGTGAAATTGCTAATTTTTAAATGTGTTTTTTTGTTGAAGATAAAAATGATTTTTTTACGTTATTTGTAAAAAAAATTATTGTAATTTTATTAGCGTAATAAGAAAATTTATTGTGCATTTTTATTTTTTGCATTTTTTGAAGAATTTTGTTTATGATGATTGACAAATATTCTTCCACACATGCATCATGCCAACAATATAAAAAAAAAATAATAATTTTAATATATATAAACTCCATGAGACAAAAAAAATCTCCGCACATGAGCAAAAAAAAGACTCCGCAAAGTGGGAAGAGATAACAAACTATCTCTCCGCACAGTGTGAAGAGAAAAACAAAAACTCTCGGGACTTTATCTGCAAATTCCAAAAGGCCCTTTCTCAAACAACTTTTGAGTAATGCATTGAATACTTTAATTCCTGACTTACAACCGAAAGCATAATTTCATTGAAAATTGTATCCCCTTCTAATGTCCAAGAGCTGTTATCAAGCAAGTGTAAAATATTGAATTTGAGTTTTAGCCTAGAGCCTCTATTTATGAAAGCAATGCCATGGTACTATCAATATCCCCTTCTTTGCACAACTCACATATTGTTTCATTGTATGAATCACGAAAAAACTCATTTCCAATACCGTAAATATG